TGAAGTAAATTTGGAGATCAGAAGTAGTGCCTCCTCCCTTTACTATTGCAGGGTGTCAGAGCCTCAGGGAAATCATGTGTGTGACATAGGGGATGATGAGAAATTACTTTTGGAAAAGCTAGTTTCTGTGAATGGGATAGTAATGACATGCTTATAGTTATACTCTATTAGTTGACTGGCAAAGGCTCACTCAGAAGTAAACCTGATAAGAAAATTATCATCTATACAAAGAGAACATTTATCAAAATTTAAAATTCTATCAGCAAATTAGGAAAAGACTTTTTTTTTCTCCTGGGTTTAGAGTTGCTAGATAAATGTGCAAAATTTTGTTCTTAATGAGAGCCCAGATACAAGACAGAAAAAAAATTTTTCTGTAAAGAAAATAGGTAACACATTTCCTGTAAGGAAAAAAAAGTGGGTTCTTTAGCCAATCCAGAAATCCTGTATTTCACTTCAGAGGGGTTTCAAATTACATTGTTCCTGCATCCTAGTATCTTTGTATTTTTCTGTCAGTCTATAATTTTGAACCCATTCTTGGGTTATTCATTGCTCTCCATCCACTTTGACTAGAGCAAGATTAACTAAGGTTTCTAGAACAAATCTGTGTTTATTGGAGTGTTCCAGAATGCTGCTTGTGCTATTTTTAAATACTGCTACATTGAAAAAGAAAAAGGAACAAGAAAAAAAACCCTCAAAAGTAATGTGATAATATTATGTTTCAAATTCAGTATGTTTACGAGTTTGAAATTATTGAGTTTCCACCCATCTGTGCATAAGTTGTCTTAATTTCTTTTAAAGTAATTTATTTCACCTAAATTTCCTTTGTATAGAAAAATTGGATAATACAGAATATTATAAAGAAGCATAGTTACATGATCAATAAACCCAAATACCAAGAAAGAACTATTATCAGTTAATTTATTTTCTTCAATCTCATGATTAAGACTCTTTGTATTCTTTGTTTTATTTATACCCATTTATCACTCAACTAAGAAAACATGCCATAGTTACAATGTAGCCTACTAATTATAATTTACTGACCTATTCCCTATCCTTCATCCACTGAAACCCTAAAACTATCCTTTTACCAGAAGCCAGGCTTTGGATGAGAGGACCTACTGCCTTGCCCAGTCTGTTTTTACCTCTGTCTTGTTCATGATAGCTGCTTGGCTCTGCTTTGGACCTCTTATGGCTGTTGAACAAAATTTACATAATGTAACTTAGGTAGATTCCAGAGCCCTTGTTATGCTGAAGTCACTGCACGCATGCAGAAAAGTACCAAAACAAAGACTTTGAAACCCTCCAACCCTATATTTTTTCCTTATGCCTAAACTTTAACTTTGATGCAAATGTAATGTAAATGTAAAACTTTGATATAGATTTAACATGTAAATGAATGAGTATGGCTATATTCCAGTAAAACTTTATTTATATGGCAGCCGGACATAGTCTGTCATACATTTAAGCCATGAATCTCTAAAGCATTGTGTGATGACATACTTGTCCGTTTGAGGAAGAAGTTAAATATTTACTTTACATCACACACAACAGGAAATCATATATCTATTAGGGGTTTAAACAGTAAGAAAACTATAAAAATATTCTGAATGATACAAAACATTTTTACCACAAAAGAAGAGGTTGACAAATGTGCCTACATAAGATTTAAATCAGAAAGCTCACCATAAGTAAAGATAAAAGACGAATGACAAACTGGGAAAAAAGTTGCAATCTGTGTGACTAGCAATTGGTATTGTTTCAACACACCAGTAAGAAGAGTAACTCAAAAGAAAAGACAAAAGATACAAATTCACAAGAAAAGATATATATTTTTTAGTTCAGTAAACGAGAAAAGAGGCTCATTCTTACTAATAGTGAAATCTCTATATTAAAGGAAATTTTTTTGCCTGCCAAATTTATAAATGTGAATAATTAGTAATACTCCTAATACTCATGTTGGGGAATGTGGGAAAATAACTGGAGATGCTTATAATGTCTTATATTTGTTTTATGTTATTGTGCAACAGATTACCCTACAACTGAGCAGCTAAAAACAACAAACATTTATTATCTTACAATTTCTGTGGGTCAGGAATCCAGGAGTGGCTTAGCTTAAATGGTTCTGCTCAGAGTTCTCATGAGTCGAGCTGTCAGCCAGCTAGACAATCTGCCACTGACCACTACCATTGAGTGTTGGCAGGTCCCAGTTTCCTTCCTGCCCTTTGCCAGGGATTTCACGTTCTCTCACTTGGGCTCCCTGAGTGTCCTTACAACTTGGCAGCTATTTTTCCCCTGAGCAAGTGATCTAAGAGATAGATCTGCTAAGACAGACACCATGGTGTATTCTATAATGTCAGAAATGACATATCATCACTTCTTCCATATGTTATTGGTCACACAGACTCATCCTGGTATATAATATGGGAAGAGACTACACAACAGGTGAATACTAGGAGGCAGGGATCCTTTGGAACCTTGGGGGCTGACTACCACATGGCTGTATTGGTACTGTATGCTTAGGGCCTTATTTCTCCCTGTCTGCTGGGTTATACAGTTCTGTACATGGTGTCTGCTAAAACTGGAATACCCAGAATGGCTTTTTTTTCCTCAACTGTGCCACCTGGGGGCTGGCTGGGCATCTTTCACCCCATGTGGCTAGCTTGGGCTTCCTTACAATATCATAGTCTCAGGTTAGTCATACTTCTTAATATGGCAACTGACTTCCCCCAGAACCAGCATTGTAGAAGATGTAGTTAGAAGCTGCAAAGGGTCTTATGATCTAGCCTCGAACTGTTTCCATTTTCTGTTGTCAAAACATGTCATAGGACCAGCGTAGAATTCAAGGGCATGATTACCAGGAGGTGTGACTTATTATGAAGGGCCATCTTTGGAACCTTTCCCAGGAAGTTATGCTTTGGAGAGATGATGCTGGCTTATTCTAAAACTAGTTAAAGTAATACAAGTTGATCTGATTCTTTGAAGATAAAATTGACAGTGTTTGCTATGGACTAGATATATGGTATATGGGAGAAATAGAGAGGTCAAAGATGAATCTGAGAACTTTGAGCCAAGCAATTTGAAGAATAGGGATGTCATTTACTCAGATGGGAAGGGCTACAAAACAACAGGTTTGGAGAGGAAAATCAGGATTGGTTAAAATATTGGGCCTCTGTAATACATATTATAAATATGTAGCTATTAAGGGGGATCTACAAAGAGATCTGCATGTAGTAAAGTAGAAATACTATCCAAGTTATTAATTACAAGGTACAATAAATAAAGTATGATTCTTGTTATGAAGAAATAAATATGTATTTATTAATATGTGCATTATTCCGGGCGCCTGGGTGGCTCAGTTGGTTAAGCGACTGCCTTCGGCTCAGGTCATGATCCCAGGGTCCTGGGATCGAGTCCCACATCGGGCTCCCTGCTCAGCGGGAGGCCTGCTTCTCCCTCTCCCACTCCCCCTGCTTGTGTTCCTGCTCTCGCTGTCTCTGTCTCTGTCAAATAAATAAATAAAATCTTTAAAAAAAAAAAATATGTGCATTATTCCACATAATTCTAACAATTTCTAACCAGTCTTTCTAGGGCTGTATTAAGAGTTTGTATTTTATTCCATAGGCAGTGGGAACTTTTTGAAGGCTTTTGGTCAGTGACATGCTATGATCATAATTATGCTTTGGGAAGATGAATTTAACAGTATAAAGAATGAAGGAGGGGTGCCAGGCTGGCTCAGTCGGTTAACCATCTGCCTTCGGGTCAGGTCATGGTCCCAGGGTCCTGGGATCGAGCCCCGCATCGGGCTCCCTGCTCCACAGGAAGCCTGCTTCTCCCTTTCCCACTTCCCCCTGCTTGTGCTCGCTCGCTCTCTCTGTCAAAAATAAAATCTTAAAAAAAAAATTAAAAAAAAAAAAAAAAGAATGAAGGAACAATGGGAGATCCAAGGATTGAACTTTATGAACACATACCAAGTTATATTTAACGTCTTTGAAGTAACTCTACAGAGGTCAGAGACAATGTTGGGTTTTTTGTTTTTGTTTTTTGGGTTTGTTTTGTTTTGTTTTTTCTGGCTTCTAACCTAGAACAAGCCAAAAGAACGGGACCCCCCCCTTGATAAATGGTGAACTAATGAATACATGCATCATCAGCCGTTCGTTGTTTGAGAAAAGGCTAGTCGAAATTAATAAAATATCCCAATTACATTTTCCCCCATTGGTTTTATTACATTCAAGTGGTAACAGAAAACAATATAGCTTTAACACATAGTAGACCTATGGAGATCTGATTAACTAGTAGACTAAAATCATGTCGAATACTACCTTACTGTCTTTGATGCTGTATTTGACTTTTTTTCTTTAAGAATTTACAACAATTAGGGTTATTTTAAATTCATCTCCTACCTGCATACATTTAAGGGCTCCATTTTCTCAATAACAAGAGTCCTTTGAGTGGTAATGAAAGGTTCTGATCATATAGTGTGTATTGTTCAAAAGATTAAACTGTCAGAAATTTCAAGAAAGATTTTTCAGAAGAGACTCTGATTAAGTTGTCATTGGTTCAAAGACCATACTTCCCTTTTCCCCTAAAGAGAGAGATTTTGGGCTTTGTTTCAAAAAAATGACACAAACAAAGATAAAAGACAAGTGACCCCCCCCCAAAAAATGACATTTTAAAGTAATTAATGATAAACTTTTTAAGGAAGAGTTTTGTCCCTTTGGATTTTTGTTTGGGTCAAATTGTTTTTCCCCCACAGTACAAACTGCTTCAGTGCCTGTAGCCTGTGGCACAGAGGCTAGGCAATGGTTTCACAGCAACAGTTAGCATTGGCATGGGGCAGGCACTATGAGAGGCCCAGGAGATTTTTTTAAAAATGTAAATATCAGGTGTATTTGGCTTGCAAGTTCCAGTGGAAGGACAAAAACTGTTGAGTTCATGGTTATATTTGTCATTGATTTTAATAAATTGCAAGATATTTGCTAAAAATGTCTTGTTTATTTCAGGGGCTACACTAAGTATGAGACCAGCCCCCATTCCAATAGAGGACCCAGAGTGGAGACAAACACCTCCCCCGGTCTCTGCCACATCTGGCACCTTCCGACTACGGCGAGGGAGTCGATTTACCTGGAGAAAGGAGTGCCTGGCTGTCATGGAAAGGTACACGTGTCCTTTCCCATAAGCAATCTCCCAACCTTAGGAAAGAGAATCCTCAGATAGATTTGGACAGCTTTCATTTCAGACAAGTAATTTGGGATCTAGGTTCTATCTCTAAATGTATTTTGGAGTATTATAAATGCTATATTATTGAAATAAGATGATCTTACCATTGAGAAGTCATAAAATTGGAGTTAGCATCTATGAATATAACAATAATCTCAATAATTTCAGGAACTAGAAGAATTTTTTAAATTTAAATCTTTATATTGTATTTTGTAAACACTCTTCAAAGTCTTATTTTCATAAAAAATATTGAATACTTCTATAGGAGGCTGCTGAGATTTTACTTCTTTCACTCAGGAGTATGGCTTAAATGAGCTTAGTCCCAAAGGTTAGAAATACATGTTTTTACTTCAGTTTGGTAATTTATCTTCAGACTGCATCACCAGTATCTGGTCCATAGTAAGTACTCAGTATGTTTTAGACTGGAATTAGACCTTAGCTTCAGTTTTCATATCTGAAATGGTATAAATTAATTAAATATGATTATTAAATGTTCAGTATATTTAGGGTAGATCCTGTAGTAGAATTATCCTTTTAGTCTCCTACCTATAAGTAATGTGTATGGAATTTTGTTTCAATGGAGAGTTTTATATTCAATAAGGTAATGTTTTCCATTAGAAAAGTATTTACTTCCTAAGATTAAATATAGAGAAAAAGAATATATTAGGCAAAGGTAAAAACAATTGAATTTTCATATTGAGATTTCTCAATAATTTAAATAATGAGAAAGAATGGAATTGAATGTTTAAAACTGGGTTTAACTTCTAAACTGACATAGAATACATATTTACATTGAACCAGCTTCACTTTTTTTTCCCAATTATCTAATCTGACCAGTTGAATGGCAAACTGTAAAGAGCATTTGACTCAGTTAAAGACCTGAAACCTGGGTTTGGCTTTGCCATTTAACCAGCTGTGCAACTTTGTCCAGGTCACAAACTCTGAGCAGTAACTTCTTCATCTATAAAATGAAGTTTTTCAATAGCCAGTAGTGAACCATATGTCATCCAGGACTTTTGCCATCTCTCTTTCTGCCTCTTTCCTGATTATCTCCCAGCTCATTAGACATCACTATCTGAAATAGAGGGAGATTGAAAATGCCAAAGTTGAGGACTTGGTTTTTATTCTTGGGTTGAAATTAAAAAGTTTGCTTAAAGTAGGCAAAATGAGACTGTAGATTATTCATTGATGTTATCATATGTTGCTTTCCTTATTCGCTTTATTGAAATTCCAGTAGAGGCCATTCATTAAATAACGAATCCTTATATGCTTGAGCAGTTAAAGTAGAAGAGTGAGATTTTTTTCGTCCCAGAGCCCTGACATTTACAGTCTGCTTTATTTTTCTCATCTAGAAACTTTGATTCTTTCAAAAAATTTCCTCAGAACTTACCACATAATAGACATGAATTTAAATAATATCAAACTTAAATTATTTGTAGCATTATACATTTTCCTCTGGGTAACAAAATAAGCTTTGGTATTAGTTTCTAGTTGGTGTAAGTTCTAATTTTGCTACTGATTCAGCCATTTAATTTTTTCATGAAGATACCAATATACATTTATCACATAATGTCAGTATGAGGAAAAGATTAATGTTAAAATTGATAATATTAATAATGGTAGGTGATATTCCTAATGCATTTACAAAATTGAACCTTGCAAGCTTTGCAGTTATTTTTTTTTTTTCAAAGCAACAAAAACTACCCATAGAATCACACTGATCAAATTTCAGTTACAAAGGTACTGAGGGGTGCCTAGGTGGCTCAGTTGGTTAAGCATCTGACTCTGGGTCTTGGCTCCAGCCTTGATCTCAGGGTTGTGAGTTCAAGCCCAGCCCCACATTTTTTAAGTGCACTTAAAAAAAAAAAAAAGATAATGAGCACTTACCCTGTGTAAAACTCCCATTTAATCTTAATTTTCACCTTTTAACCTTAATTTTAATTAATAAATGTCATTAATCCAGGAATTGGTTATCTTTGGTTTAATTTTATCTTACTTGGCACAACCAGTAAGAAAGTATGTGGTTTATTCCAGTAGTTGCAAAAATGCAAGAGCCTCTCAGGGTATTTAATAGCAGTAGATCACGGTATGATTTCATTCTGTGAAAGTGGAACTTTTTATTTTCTAACATGGTATATAAAATTCCCTGGCCTCAGAGCAATGCGTGATGTTTTTCATTTTGCAGTACACTGAATAGGTGAATAAATATATATGCACAGACTGTAAAGCCAGCAAGTACTAGGCTTACTCAAGCATATTAGTATGTCAGAAATTATTCATTCTTCATACCCTACACCAAGACAAATTTCAAATGAATCAAAAAAATGAACTCATATAAAATAATAGAAGAAAATACAGGTACCCTGGAAATGATGAAATTTTTCCTAACTAGGACTCAAAATCCAAAATATGGGAAAGGATTGATAAATTTGGTTACATACATTAAAAGAAAAACTTAGGGGAGAAAAAAACTGTGAACAAAGTAAAAAAAAAAATTGGAAAAGATATTTGCTGCATATTATTATCCCTGATATATGAACTTTTAAAAGAGAGAGAAGACCACCAACTCTATAGAAAACTAAAGATAACAGCAGAAAAACAAATACAAGTGTCTCTTAAACATATAAAAGGATGTTCAATTTAACTCATAGTAAGGGAAATTCATATTAAAATTATACTGAGACATTATTCTTCTCCTATCACATTGGCAAAAATCCAAAAGTTCCATAACGTTTTTTTATTGATTGAGCTGTAGGGAAATGGGCACTCTCATACTTTGCTTGTGGGAATGCAAAATGTAACAACTTCCATGGACAGGAATTTGACAGTATTGGAGACAGTTACCCCTGGATTTGCCCTTTGACTCAGCATTCTCACTTCTAGTAAATTATCCCAGAGATAAACTGACAAAAGTATAAATATAGCAACCCTGTTTGCAATAATATCAAAATATTGAATACAACCTATGTGTCTATTAGTAGTGGACTGGGTGAATAAATTACAATAAATCCATACGTTGGATGCCCAAGTTCAAATAATAGAGTGCCATGCAGCAGCAAAAGGAATGAATTTTCCTTTCTACAGAATGAAAATCATACTGTGTCCTTCTGTACTATCACTATTAAATATTTTGTAAGGCTTTTTTGCATTTTTGTATCCATTGGAATGAATACTTTTTTATATACAGTGATCTTCAGAATATAATGTTAAAAAAAAGTGTCAGTTGTATATAGTAGGCTATCATTTATGTATTTATGTATTTGCTTATAATTTGTTTTAAGATGAAGGAATATGCCATAAAATAAAATGGTTACCAATAGGAGAAGAGAAAAAAAAAACAGATTGGAGGGGGCAAGAATAGAAGCTTGACCTAAATATACCATGTTTTCACATTTTAACCATGTAAATATTTTATGTAATTATAAAACAAAATTAGGTTGAAATGGGGGGAAGGTAACCCCTAAAAATAACTAAAATGAAACAAAAGTGTGACCTAAACATTCATGAGCTGTATCAAATAACTTTATAATACAGTATTTTGACTATGCTTCTTGATGGGATACAGTTTAGGAATAAAAAGAACTACAAAAAAACCTTACCTTTTACAAATGTTGGTAATATTAATATTGTTACTCAGGTACTATTTTTATTTGTATAGATACAGATATAGGTAAGACAATCGTAGTGTTATTACGAATCAAGTTTTTCAGTGTAAAACAGATATAAAATAAGTAAAACACTATAATCTTGTGTATGTTTGTGCATATAGAAATTTATCTGGATTGTATTCTTTTAATAACAGCCTTATTGAGATACAATTCACCTAATTAAAATGTACAATTCAGTGCTTCACCACAATCAGTTTTAGAATATTCTCTTCACCCCCCAAAAAACTCTTGTACCCAGTAGCAGTCACTCCTTTTTCCCCCATCCTCCCCAGCCCTACATAACCATTAATCTGCTTTCCCTGTATATAGATATGCCCAGTCTGGACATTTCATATGAATGGAATCATACAAATGTGGCTGTTTGTGACTCACTTCTTTCACTTAGTATAATGTTTTCGAGGTCCATCCATGTTGTAGGTCATTTCAGTATTGCATTTCTTTTTGTTGCCAAATAATGGTCCATTTTAAAGATATGGCATATTTTATTTATTCATTCATCAGTTGTTGGACATTTGGGGTTGTTTCCTCTTTTTAGCTATTATCAATAATGCTGCCATCAATGAAATTTGTGTACTAGTGGAATTGCTGGGTCATATGGTGACTGTGTTTAGCCTTTTGAGAAACTGCCAGACAGTTTCCAAAGCATATGTACCCTTACATTCCATCGAGCACTATATGATGGTTCCAGTTTCTCACCAGCACTTTATATTGCTGTCTTACTGATTCTAATCTTCTTAGTGTGTGCAAAAGTAGATTCTCATTGTGGTTTTGATTTGCGTTTCCCTAACCAATATGTTGAATATCTTTTCATATTCTTATTGGCTATTTCTGTTTCATCTTTGGAGAAATGTCTATTCAGATCATTTGCTCATTTTTAAAGTTGGGTTATTTGTCTTTATATTGAATTGTAAGTTTTCTTTATATGTTCTAGGTACAAGTCCCTTATAAAATACATGGTTTCCAAATATTTTTGTTTTTTGCCCCTGACATTTTATTTATTTATTTATTTATTTATTTATTGAATTTTTAAAATTTAAATTCAATTAACGTGTAATGTATTATTAATTTCAGAGGTAGAGGTCCGTGATTCATCAGTCTTATATAACACCCAGTGCTCATCACATCACGTACCCTCTTTTTAAAAATTTTTTTATTGTTATGTTAATCACCATACATAACATCATGTGCCTTCCTTAATGTCTATCACACAGTTACCCCATCCCCTCAACCACCTCCCCTCCAGCAGCCCTCAATTTGTTTCCTGTGATT